GCGATTCTGAGGAAGAGTACGAGATGGAGGGCGAAGACATCCCACAACCGGGGAATGCTCGACAGGTTCCCCCGGTGAATCAGCATCCACCACCACCGCCGGGTCCCACCTTGGAGTACTACTACACTCCACGGATTGCTGACATCCGCCCGGTCATCCTCTATCCGCCCATCCCAGCAAATAACTTCGAGATCAAGCCAGGCTGGATTCAGCTCATCACATCCTCTATCCAGTTCCATGGCTTGAAGGATGAGGAAGCCCGGGCACACCTTTCCCGTTTTCTGCAGCTGACAAACGGTTTCAAGCTGAATGGTGTTCCGGATGATGCAATCCGCCTTCACCTCTTCCCCCATTCTCTGGCGGGGAATGCTAAGAGGTGGTTGGAGACCCAGCCCCCACTGTCCATCACTTCATGTGTGTAGCCAAAATTTTGACGTTTATGACAATAATAGCCACTTTTGAAGAAATATCAAATATAGCCAGAATTTTGAAAATTTCATGACAAATATAGCCATTTTCGCTATAAACTTTAACGGTGTTAGAAATTCCGTCAATTAGGTCAACGCTAGGCTGACTAAGATGCCAAATCATCGTACAAATCAACGACAACTTAGCCATTGGTGGCACATAGATGCCAAGTATTATTTCAATTAAAAATTAAAATGAATAATTTTTATTTTTCTTAATAACAAAATTGAATTGAAAAAAAAAACGTGATCCCCTTTCATCTTCTTCCTCTCGCCAGGGAAAGGGAACCCTTTCTATCCATCCTCAATCAACAAATCACAAACAGAAACAAGAAGAACTAAGAATCTCAAGCCAAGAACCATCTTCCTCTCCGATTCCATGCCCCGCCAAAACTCGATTCCCTAACCCGTCACCTTCGCAACGTCTTCTCCGACCACCCGCCACCGCCAAAACTCGATCTTTGACGGCCCTAACAGAAACCCATCGAGAAGAAGCTCGATTTCGCAGAATAGAAACCCGATTCCGCTACCAAAACTCGATTCTCTTGGGTAGGGAGGGATGGGAACTTGGCCCTTGCATATCAACTCGTCGTTGTGTTGATTCTTCCGCCGTTGCATGGAAGATTGTTTTTTCTCTCTCCAGAATCTGTCGCCGATAATAGTGAAGAACTACCCACCATGAACGAGGACTACAAGAAGTTTCGGGTTAAGTGGTTTTCGATATTGGCGAAGATGGCACTCAGCTGTCTGGGCGAAGGACTGTTGGAGTTTCGGGTTCTTAAGTTTGAGAGCGGCGGTGGCGGTGGCGACGCCTTCTACTTCTTCCTCTCTATTTTACTGCCGCGACTTTGATCAACCCCCAGCTGGGCCTTCAATTGGTTGATCGGAATCGCGATCTAAAATCCTCCCTAGCGGCCGCCGATTTCTTTATCAGGAGCGAGGCAAGGTAAACGGAGCGACAAGGTTATTCATTAAAAAAAATGGAGCGACAAGGTTTTTTTTTTGACAAAGGACATTGAATTTCCATTACTTGTGGGACAAGCCAGTCAAAACAACATGGGAGCTATAACATCAAGGATATTTAACCATTGAGATGGTAACTGGTTTCTAGCACATGATCTAGTCACCCAATTAGTCTTGAGATTTTTCTTACGGCTAAAGTGTATCAGCTTGATGAATGGGTTCTCCGCAAGAATACGCTTGATGCAACCCAGCCTTGCTGCCGCTCGCCACGGCCATGATTTTGGATCGCTCTGTACTGCCTTCACCAGCTGCAGGCAGTCTGATTTCAGCAGGCAGGGAGCTCTGAGGGCTGCTGCAAGTCGGGAACCCTCCAACAGGGCCAATGCTTCTGCTTCAAGTGGGGAAAAGCAATGCATGGGCTTAGCTCTGCCATCACAAACTTGGCCATGGCAATTCGTTACAACGACGCCATATGCCGCCTTCTGGGGCTCGTCAAAGAACGAGCCATCGCAGTGTACTTCAAATTGATGAGTACCTGGCGGTGGTGTAGAATGTTGCTGGGGTGGGATGAGCTGAGACGGTTGGGGCCTTTCAGTTACTTTCCTTGGGCAAGTGGACCATTGTGTGTGAGCAGATGCCGCTTTCGAGATCGTAGATGGTGGCCAAGGCTTCGTATCCCTAAAGATCTTTTCATTTCTGGATTTCCAGGTCTGCCAACCAAGTAAAATGATCTTCTGAATCGCTAGGATTGGGTAGCACTGTCGTAGGGAGTCGAGCCATTCCAGGAAAGAGGACAAGGGTGAGGGTCGAGGCAGGGAGGGCCACTCTTTGTTCCATCCCTCCGCCGCGTGGGAGCAGGCAAATAAGCAGTGGTGGATTGATTCTGATGAGGCACCACAAATCGGGCATGCCTTTGATATGGCGCACTTCCTCTCAAACAAGTTTTCTTTACACGCCAGCGCCCCTCTGGTAACCTTCCAAACGAAGAATTTAAGTTTTGGAGGTATAGACAAACTCCATAACCACTTCCATCTTTGCCTGCTCGCCTCCGAGAACTCCTCTGACCGTCCTCCTTCCTGTCTAGACTGCAAGTGAAACTGGGTGAAAGCAGACTTCACCGTGAAGTTACCTTGGTCAGTGAACCTCCATGCCCAGAAGTCCTCCAGAGAATCCGGCCCAATAGGAATTGCTGCCACCTGAATCAGGTCCTGCTGACTGAGATAATTCGAAAGCAAATCAAACTTCCACTCCCTCGTAATCTCATCGATCCAACTGTCAGCTGTAGCATTGTCATTCCAGTCGAACTGTAGGAGGGGGCCTGCCCTATCAAATCTCCATGGGTCGTGGAAAAGCCTAGTAGTTTTGCCATTTCCAATCACTCGGATCAGTCCCTTTTGCATCCATCTTTTAGCTTCACAAATGCTGGACCAGATCCACGATGCTCTGCTACCTTTTTTAGCATTCAGAAAACCTGAGTTGGGGAAATAGATGCTTTTCAATACCTTAACCCATAATGCCTCCTTGTTGGTGAGAATTCTCCAGGCCTGTTTGGCCAGTAATGCAAGGTTGAAAGTATTGAAGGGGCGAAACCCGAGACCCCCCTCCTCCTTTGGTGCATATAACACATGTCCTGCTTTCCAATGAATCGTTCTCTTTATCATGGACCCTCCCCAAAAGAAGGATTTGAGCATGGAATCCATTTTCTTCGTTGTACACTTGGGCAGCAGGAACAAGCTCATGATATATGCTGGGACTGCTTGGAAAACTGCTTTTAAGAGCACTTCTTTCCCTCCTGGGGACAGGAGAAGGCTCTTCCAGGCTTCCCCTTTAGATTCCATGCATTGAAGCAGGAAGTTAAAGGTTTCCTTCTTAGATCTTCCCCATTCGGTTGGCACTCCCAGGTAATTGGAATGGCAAGGAGTTGGAGCAAACCCAGAGCTACTCACAATCCTGGCCTGATCTTCACTTGGGACGTTGCAGCTGAAGAAGAAGGAAGACTTGTTTTTGTTGACTTCTTGCCCAGTGACCGCTCCATACTGATTGAGGATGTCCAGAATCTTGCCAGCCTCTTCGCATGATGCCTCCCCGAAAATCACTGTATCATCCGCGAACAGGCAATGTGAGAGGACAGGGCAGTGTCTGTTAAGCTTTATTCCTTTAATCCCATTGTTCAGGACCGCTTTCTCGATCAGGAAAGACAAAGCATTCGACATGAGAATAAAGAGGAGGGGTGACAAGGGGTCCCTCTGTCGAATGCCTCTGGATGGGATGAACTCACTTGACGGCTCACCATTCAGCAGTAGGCTGAAAGTAACCGTTGTAATACAGGAAGACACCCAGCCACACCAAACGTCACTGAAACCATAAGCCTTCAGCAGGGAGAGGAGGAGATCCCATTCAACCATATCGTATGCCTTCTTCATGTCAAGTTTCATCATCATCTCCCTTTTCTTTCCTGATTTCTGTTTCTTGAAATAGTTAAGTACCTCGTGCACAATGATAATATTGTCTTGAATCTGTCTTCCTCCTGTGAATGCAGCTTGGAGCTCGTTTACCAGGTCAGGCAACAAGGGCTGAAGTTTGTTTGTCATTATTTTGGTGATGACTTTATACCGAAAGTTGCAACAGCTGATTGGTCTGAACTGGCTTATTGACTCAGGGGAGTCCACTTTGGGGATGATAGTGATAAATGTCTTGTTCCAATTATCCGGCATTACACCTGAAAGGAAGGTGGAGATCTCGTGGCAAAAGGAGTCCCCCAAGGTGCTCCAAAATTTCCTGAAGAACAAGCCCTGAAAACCATCGGGCCCAGGAGCCTTGGTAGCCCCCAGCTGAAAAACTGCCTTACGAATCTCATCCTTCTCCACCGGGGAGCACATAACATTATTATACTCTTCAGTCACCAACCTTGGAAAGCCTACGAGGATACTCGGGTCACAACTTCTGTTGTTGGAGGTGAAGAGGTTGATATAAAAATCATTAGCAAGGTCTTTTAATTCCTGAGCATTGTCAATCCATATACCTTCCGCATTTCGTAGCTTGACAATCCGATTTTTGTTATTCCTTCTAATGGTAGTGGCGTGGAAAAAACCGGAGTTCTGGTCCACTTCTTGGAGCCAGTTGATCCTCTATCTTTGTAACCAGAAGCTTTCTTCCGAGCTCCAGATGGATTCGAGTTCCTGATGTAGGCACCTTTCTTCAGCAGCCTTATCAGGGAGAAGAGAGAGGAAAAGGGTCGAGGATTTTATTTTTACTTTTATAATTTATTTATAATAATAAAATAACCATTTCCACCTATCATGATTATTCACAAAAAAATTGCCACATCAATAATAAACATCAGTCCAGTCAACACGTTAGATAACATAGTTAAAGAATTGGACAGAATTGGTTATGTTTGATATTTCTCTAAAAGTGGCTATTATTGGCAAATACGTCAAAGTGGCTATCATTTGATACCAAACAATATGTTATTCAAGTTAGAGCGGTTTGTAGCAATTTTAAGAGCGACATTTATCAATCCGGCAAAATAATAAGCGTACCTATCCTTTTTAGCAGCCTAACCTCTCCAGCTTTTTCTGCTCCTCTTCTCGACTGTATTAGGGTTTTCTCGTATTTCTGATCGCTCTATAGTAAACAACATCTGCGCAGCACAGCCGTTTCGCTGTCGTTGCTCATCTCTCTCCCGCCGACTCTCGGTTTTCATCGTGTAACTGCATACCGCTACGGCGCACGGCGAGTAAACAGCTGACCCGAAGAGAGCGAATTGTAAGCAGAGGAAGCTCCAGCAAAAATGTCGTCGCTGAAGAATGTTCTTCCTCAAAGAACCCACAAGGAACGAGCTCAACCGTGAGTCGTCTCCGCTTTGCTGTTTCTGCTCTTCTTTCGACTTTACCCATATAACTCCTCTCCGTTTCTGCAGTCATCCAGTTCCTTATTTGCTTTGAATTTTTTTGGCTGCTAGGGAGTCGAGAAAGAAATTTGGGCTTCTGGAGAAGCACAAAGACTATGTTGTTCGTGCAAAGGCGTTCCAGAAGAAGCAAGAGACTTTACAGGTATTGCCACGGAAAAGTTCTATATCAATTTCTTGGGCTGCATTTGGGTTTTCTCTTTTTTGATTGTTTTGCTTGATCTGCGATATTGATTCTGATTCACGGCTCTTGTGGCTGTATCTTCCTGCAGAGGCTCAGAGAGAAAGCAGCTTTCAGAAATCCTGATGAGTTTAACTTTGGCATGATCAAATCCCGAACTGTAGATGGAGTCCATCGTTCAGTGTAATGTCTCCATAATCCATGTATTATTGCTTGCTTATGTTTAGTTTTCGAAGCAACTTGCGATGGAAATTTCGAATTAGGCTTATGAATAAAAGCTTGACAGTACGGTGAAGCGTGGTTGCCAGATAGATTACTCTGTAGAAAAGCTAAAGTGCTCCAGCTTTGAGCTTCTGGTAGTGTTTCTGTTTGATGACTGATCTTCCTAAAGCATGAAAATGAAAAGATTTGTTTTTTTCGCTGGAATTCTATTCTAATGTAGCTAGAATGTAACATGGAGTTTCTAAGTGTGCTTATGAGACTGAGTAGCTTCAAATTGGAGCTAGGCTCGAGCACTAGAATGTGCTAATTAGATAACCTGAAGCTTTGGTTTGCGTAGCAAACGTAAACTTGTAGGTTTTATATGACTTGTGGTTCATCTACTTCGGCTCTGTTTGTAGGGGTGAGGCAAACAAATACACGCAAGATGAACTGATGCTGATGAAGACGCAAGATATCGGATATGTGCTTCAGAAACTTCAGAGCGAGAAAAAGGTAATGAAGGCTTCTGTTTCTCGTATTTATTGATGTGCGGAGAGGTTTTCAACGCAGAAATATGCTCATTGATGCCACTAAAATATTGTCTGATGCAGAAAGTTGAAAAGCTTACATCCGTCTTGCACTCAGTCGGAAACCAGCCGTCAACCAGTCACATCTATTTTGCTGAAGATAGGTTTGTCCTTTATGACAATTGCACTCTGTTGACATTTATTATGCCAAGAACTGTAAAGGATAGCTGGCTGTTTTAGAATATATACTGGGAACTTGTGCACTCTGCTACTTGTTTAGTGGATGTTCATTCTCTAATGATGGACGACTAAGTGACATGGTGTTTGACTTGAGATTTGGCGATGGGCATATATGGGCTCTTCATAACTTCCTATACTTAATATACACATTATATAGTTATGTAGGAGTTGTTGCTGATTGCTATCACTGATGAAAGTGACCTGTTAAGGTGAAAGCATGCATGGTTATTGAACTATTGGTTTGTTGTTTTCCAGAGAGGAGGCTGAAGAGATAAGGTCATGCCGTGCCAAAAACAATGAGGGTAGTTCCACTGCAGAAAAGCCTGTGCCTGATCATATTAAGAGGTACACTTGTAGTTTACTTTATGTAGATCCTATCCTACTATCATAGATGGATACTCCTCTTCTATTAAGTCTTGGTTATTTGAATGAGTGAGTTCATTGTACTTCTACAAATGTCTACCTAGCGGTAGCCTTTCTATGTCTGTTGGATTTGTACCTAGGCTAGTAACCAGATCACATTTTTTTTTAGTGGAAACCTTTCTATGTGTCTGTCTGGAAATTTACCATGGTTTTAATAGTGATTAGTTGATCGTAACCTTTTATGGCACGTCCTTATTATGAATGGCCAGAATCGGGAATGCCATATACAGATAAAGGCTTGTACATTGGCGTGAGATCATGTTCGTTAGCAATCTAAGATTAGCTTACTGGTGAGGTTAGAATATCGTTACACTAAATTAACCGGTTTTATTGTGCAGGAGATTAGCCGGTTCTTACAGAGAGCTAGAAGCCCGGAAGAACAGAGTGACTCAGTTAGAGAAGCTGTACATGGAGATGACATTACAGAAGGAACTGCAGGTATGGTAATGTGTAAATGTCTGCCCTGATCTATGCTTTCTGCCTGATTATTGGAGTATCATAACAAGGATTGGGCCTTCTGTCATCAGAAAAAGGGACGAAAGCGCAAGTTACGTGAAGATGAGACTCTGGCGCCTACATCAGGGCCAGTATACAAGTGGAGAAAAGAACGGAAGAGGTGAAAATTCCGGCGTATCACAAGTTGGTGTCTGTTTGTATTCATTTAGCCGCCAGCAGATCCAGTGAAAGTTCATTTTCACAACTGGAGTGGCTTTGACACCGAGATTTGAACTAGGTACTAGATAGAGAGGCGTTGCAGTTGTCATCAATCTCTTCATGGCTCTCTACCTTAATTAGTTAAACTCAAAATACAGATTGTTCAAGAGTGTAGCTACCTTTATGCACTTTTCCCCACATCTTACCAATAACCTTGGAAAACTTTTAACGTCAGTTCTCTTTCCCGTCATGTTTGCAATTTTCCAGGTGGTCTCATTCTTCAGGTTCACCTGGAGGTCAAGAATTTTGAGCTCATTCTTTGCTCCCTGCTTTCTTTTCCAGCTGTCTATGGTTATGATCATAGCACTATCGGCTGTATGTTGATAATAAGTGCATTTCATTATGTGTTACGTTTGATACAACTGCACCGAGTAAGTGACAGAGGCAAGCATAGTCTTCTCTAATTTTGTTAAACCACCCAGTGGAGTGGACTACCTACTCTTCTTCTACATTGTCAAAATACGTAAGACTAAACAAACTACGGGAAATTTCTGATACTATGAAACATACATCTAACTGACATAATCACCCTGCTCTCGTGCCCTCCGCTGCTTGCTGACCAGTTTTCCGAATTGATCTTTCGTGCTTTAAGAGGTTCAACTGGTCATAAAACAAGATATCTCTCATTTGCTCCATCTGTTTCCACTCTTTATCTATCTGTGAATCTATCTCCTCGAAATGAATGATCTTCTCTTGGATATGCTTCATCTGCAAAAGGATTACTCTCAGTCAACATTTAAAGTTCCAGTTTCACTCCGAGGAGAGCTCCGTAAGATGGGGACAAGTGTCTTTTACCTGTACCATTGCAACTGTACGAAGCTCTTCCTCAACATTCACCTTCTCCTCCGGCATTGTATTTACACCTGAACGGGCCTCTTCAGAGGACTTCAACTTGTTACTGCCGTTGGATGTGATACTTGCATCTGAATAGAGAAACACATAACTCATCACTTGTCTTCTCAATGCTCGAGTAACTCAGAAAATGAACAGCATCTTTGCACAATTAGTTCAATCCGAGACGCGCAAATAACAGAGGCTGCTTTTACACGATTCTATGTCACTACTCATGACATTGTCCTCGTCAGCCCCTCTTACTTTGCAATCCTTGAACCCCATGAAGACTTCTGAAGTGAGCGTTGGCTTCTCCATGTCCAACCTTGGACACTGCAGTTACAGCCGCCTGAGCAGCGGCTTCAGCAACAGCTGTCCCAGCCAAAGCCGAGAGGAAGGCAGCCTGACAAATGTTTTTAAAACTAAAACATGAAATCCTACAGGTCGCTGGACAAAATAATCCTGCATAAGCTACATATGCAAGTAGAGTATACCTGAGCCATTATCGGGTTGCTTGCATCTGCAAGAGGCGAAAGGCACAATCTTTTACCAGAGGAGGAAGAGTTACTACTGTTATCATCTTTCATCTGGTTTAGCTTGTTGATACCGGATCCAAATTCTGCAGAACCAGCAAGCTTCTCCCCCATGGGAAGCTTAATGAAGTGGGTGATGCAGTCCTTTTCACTTCTACCACCAACATGCTGTGCAACCTTCTTCCAGTCATCACCATAGTGCATTACCGCTTCCAAAAGTTGCATAGTCTCTTTCTCCGTCCAATCTGTTTTCATCTCATCGCTTATCTCAACCCGCCTGAAATCCGAAGAACTAAGTCCCACCCGATAATTCCCCCGCACAAAGCACCGTGCACAAAGAGTTAAGTCGCACTGGTTCAACAAAATCAGGACCAAATTCGTTAAGCAATGCTGCAGACGGATTTGGCTTGATAGTATGAATTCCATTGCAATGAAAAGAGGGGGGCGAGATTTTACCTTGTCGGAAGCAAAGCAAGCGATGCTGCAGACGGACTTGCAGCTGCCACAGAGCCACTTTGTAGTTTCCCTGACCGGAGGAGTGGAGTCCGAGGAAGGCCCCGCCGGCGAATCGGCGGCGTGCTGGGAGGTCTTGGAATCCTTCTCTTCCCACTTCAAGGGCTTGCTCAATGCAGCCGGAGAGTAATTGATGAGGCCCCATGCGTCCAAGAAATCGAAAACTCTGCGGATGGAGATGACGTCGGCGGCGAGCGTCTTCCTGACTTCGGTGAAGGTGATCTTCGAGGAAGGATTCCGCCTGAATTGCTTGATGATGGAGTCCCGGATGTACTTGTACGCCCTAGGGTTTCTCGAAGGGGACCGGGAATCGAAAAACTCCGGCAGGCAGCGAATCTCGCATTCGCTAATGCCGTCCAAAGAGAACCAACCTGAAAAAAAGCGGACACAAAAAAGAGAAGAAATTACCGAATTAGAGAATTGTTTTTCATGGCTGCGAAAGGGAAGCGACGGGAGATGCTAAATTTGCAGAGGGAGATTACGGGAGTAGCTAGGGATGTGGACTAATTCGGCGTCGGAAGGGGTAGGTAGAGGGGTTGCGACGGAGAGCGTGGCGGGGGAGGAAGAGGAGGTGGTCGGAGCGACGGCGGCTAATGCTGCGGCGGAGGGGGTGATAATTGTGGGGGAGGGGAGAGGGAGGAGGTTGGGCTTGGAGGACGGCGGTGTAACGGCGGCGGGAGGTTCTAAGGAAGCCATGGCATTTGGATTGCGAAAATTTTGTGGAGCGAAGACTGTTAAAGGGAAAAGGGGACTAGATACTATAACAACACTCCACACTCCTTTTGTTGTTATTGTAATAACACTAGTCTCCAACCAATAGGAAGTTAGGGTTGTGATGATCTTTTATTGAGAGCTGTCTCTTGGCACTTCAAGTGTCACAGCACCTAAGAGTTTAATAATATAAAATTCAAAAACTCATTTATGAAATCTAATATCTCATGGGAGATAAAGAGATACGAGAAGTTTGAAAGAAAGGAGAAATACAAGCAATTTTGTTTTATCAGATAAAGGAAAGGAGAAGATAAAAACCTTCTCCTCACTCTTCACGTTTCCTTTCCCCTTCTTCCCGGCAGCAGATAGGGTCAGTAACCACTTGGTTACTGACATGTCAGTAATGAATAGGGACCATAGATCTAAGAGGCATGCAATCGTGTGGTTGGGCCAGACGCTGAGTAGGGAAGGGTATTTTTGTCCGTTTATACATTAAATTTTTTATTTTATTTTATTTCGTATTTAATGGCTGCACTTTTAAAGAAGGAAAGAGAAATCACTTTTCTGCAACTTTCTATCTTCCTTCTCTCTTCCTTTTTCTCTCCCAATCTCTTTTCCAAATCTTCTCTCTTTCTCTCTTCCTTTTTCTCTCTCAATCTCATTTCTAGATCTAAATCTGCTCCTTACTCTTCTTCTTTATTTTTTTTACATGACGAATTAAAATTGGAGCCACTCTTTTTCATTGCATTTCTTCTCTTCATCATCTCGTTGGCCTCAATTTCGATCTTTCTCATTTTTTCGGCATTTTGGTGTTCTTGATTGCGGAAGAGGAAATGAGAGGCGACACAATACGATTTTTCTCTACCTCCTTCTGTTTTTTTTAGATAATATATATTGATATTATAACTCTATACCATATGGTATTCGGTGGTAACGAAATATATATTGATATTACCACACTATACCATATGGTAATGTATGGTATTGTGTGGTAACGAATTATATATTGATATTACCACACTATACCATATGGTATTATGTGGTAACGAAATATATATTGATATTACCACACTATACCATATGGTATTGGGTGGTAACGAAATATATATTGATATTACCACACTATACCATATGGTATTGGGTGGTAACGAAATATATATTGATATTACCACACTATACCATATGGTATTGGTTGGTAACGTAATATATATTGATGTGACAAATTTTTTCATACCATATAGTATGGTCAGTACCAGTCATTACCATATGGTATAGACTGGAAATAACTGACAAATTTTTTTATGTCTGAAAAATATCAAAGTGGATATCATTTTGAAGAGCACAATTAATCTGATCTAACTGTGCAAAGAAAATTAAATTCCGACTTAAAACGAGTGAGAAATCGTCCGTTAAAGATTAAGAGAAGGAAAATTAAAGGTTGTTTGAGGAGAGAGAAGGCGCTGATGTGATCTGGTCAGCGTCAGCGCGTCAGAGACATCATTAAATAGGGGGTGCATTTTTACCTTAGTGCCCCTCCGTGTTTAATTTAAATAAAAAGAAAAAGCTGACACGTGGGGACACATGATTGGATTACTGATAGTTACTGATAGTAAGGATACTGACCTGATCTTGTCCCCTTCTTCCTCACGAAGATACCCATCATTGTTGTTTTTTTTTTTTCATAGAACATTTCCTTCTCATCATAATCCTGTGATTCTCCATCCAAACACATTCCCGTAAGCCTTAATTCCAGCTCCTTGTTCATATAATCTTTTTCATCTCTTTTTTTCCTTGAGAGGAGCAAGTAGCCCCTTCACGAAAATGGTCGGGCTCCATTGGCGGCTGCCGGATTACGCCATTGACGGTGAAGAAATACCTTCATTCACACTACCTCTCTAATCTGTAAGTTTGTTTCTTCTTGTTGTTGTATTTTTTTTCCACTATTGAAGGAACACTAAAATCTAACCAGTAGCTTTTTTTGCAGTCCAATTGGTTAAAGAGTCAACTGAAGGGAAAGAAGCTGGAAGTATGGAACAAGACACTATCATGGTTGAAGATGATGAAATCAATGATCGAGGTAATACTATTCAATCACCCGAGCAAAATGGTTGTAATAGAAGTGAATGGAAGTGGGTACCAGTGGTGGGTGTGTCTTATTCTTCAGCTGATGAAATCTTTGAGTTATATCAAGATTATGCTGAAGCAAAAGGATTTGCAGCAACAAAGGCAGCAACCCAAAAAAATAAGAAGGGAGAGACTGCAAATTGTAGATTTTGTTGTCATAGGGCTAGGAAACCATCTAACAAGTCAAAGAATCCTGTCAAACCAAAACCCAGCCATCGAATTGAATGTGGAGCTCGATTGAATCTTAGTTCAAATGGGTTGCAAGCATCTAGTCCAACTTTTGGGATGCAGGTACTTTGACTTGAATTTCCCTTGCTTTGATTGGTTTTGCCATTGCTGATTTGTTAGTATCAACATAAGTAGAGTTTGAAAGTTACATTTTTTTCAGGTTAGATCGGTTTTTGGTATTCCAAATTACCCTTGCTTTGCTAGAAATGAACAGGTTTGTGATCAACAAGTTTTCCTAGGTGGCGGATGTTATGAGTGCAATTAGTTGCACTGTTAATTTATGACAATTTCTTATTCACGTAAACTTTTCAGGTGTCACGTAAAATCAAATTTATTCACGTAAGTATTCAACTATTTACGCATATTTGATCTCAATCACGCTAAAACAATCAGACCCAGTATAAAAACAAAGTCGGTCGTGTTCTTATCAAACAAGCAGGGGGCACACTTAAAAAAACACCCTCTCCTTAATAAAACCCGGCTTCTTCCCAAAAACCCGGCCTCTCTTCCTAAAAGGCCGTATTTTCATGTGATTAACACAAATGCACGCCATGTCACGCTAAAACATTAAAACTCACGCATAAATAGACACTGTCACGCCAATATAACACTATTCACGCATAAACAGACATTTATTCACGTTAGTCTTGTAACTATTTAAGCATATTCAATCTCCTCCACTATATTCAAATAAGATCAAGGAAAAGTTCTTGTCTCTAGATGTGCCAAGAGACCAGACTCGAAGATCAATAAGGATAACTATTCAACAACATGTTATAAGAACTCATAACATACCAAACTAATAGTCTAGTATGTTAGATAACATGCTCAACAACGCATTCACGAGTTTAAGTGCAATACTCACATCATATCGTCGAATATGAGTTACTCTATAGTTTTATATTAATTCAATAACGTAATAACTTTTAAATATTAGTATATACATTTCAAAAAATTACCCATTCACGTCAACACTATCTATTTCACGCCAAAATTATATGATTCACGCACATTCATCTCTGAAAACGCCAAAACCATATGATTCACGCCAATACCCATCTGATTCACGCCAACATTATGTGATTCACGCAAACACATTCTCATTCACGTCAACACTATGTGATTCACGCCAAAACAATCTGACTCACGCAAATGGATCGCCATTCACGCCAATATTAATCTGATTTCACGCATATTCATGTAGGGACATGCCAAAACTATAAGAGTCACGCCAATACACATCTAATTCACGCACATTCATCTCTGAAAATGCCAAAACCATATGATTCACGCCAACATTATGTGATTCACGCAAACACATTCTCATTCACGTCAACACTATGTCATTCACGCCAAAACTATATGGTTCACGCAAATGGATCACCATTCACGCCAATATTAATCTGATTCACACATTCATTTAGGGACATGCCAAAACTATAAGAGTCACGCCAATACACATCTAATTCACGCACTCTCTGAAAACGCCAAAAACCATATGATTCACACCAATACCCATCTGATTCATGCCAACATTATGTGATTCACGCAAACACATTCTCATTTAAGTCAACACTATGTGATTCACGCCAAAACTATATGGTTCACGCAAATGGATCACCATTCACGCCAATATTAATCTGATTCCCGCATATTCATTTAAGGACATACCAAAACTATAAGAGTCACGCCAATACACATCTAATTCACGCACATTCATCTCTGAAAACGCCAAAACCATATGATTTACGCCAATACCCATCTGATTCACGCCAACATTATGTGATTCACGCAAACACATTCTCATTCACGTCAACACTATGTGATTCACGCCAAAATTATATGGTTCACGCAAATGGATCACCATTCACGCCAATATTAATCTGATTCACGCATATTCATTTAGGGACATGCCAAAACTATAAGAGTCACGCCAAGACACATCTAATTCACGCACATTCATCTCTGAAAACGTCAAAACCATATGATTCACGCCAATACCCATCTGATTCACGCCAACATTATGTGATTCACGCAAACACATTCTCATTCACGTCAACACTATGTGTTCACGCCAAAACTATATGGTTCACGCAAATGGATCACCATTCACGCCAACAATATCTAGTTCACACAAACACATTCTCATTCACGTCAACACCATCTGATTCACGCCAAATATATATGATTCACATAAATGGATCACCATACAGGACAATATCCATCTGATTCACGCAGAACCATACCCCCACCAAAATGTACCATTTCAACAAAGTAGTTACCATGTCTGCCAACAAACATTTACATCCAATCACCAAAAAGTTATCTCGTGTCTTTCTTGTCTGGCAAACCATCTCCCACTTGCACATAATCTCTCTATTACTCAAAATATACTTTCCTTCATTGATTCCCAACAGCTGTTTTCCTTGTGTTGTATCCACTCAAGGAATAAGTTCTCTCGCAGTCTCAAAGAAGATTTCTGATAAAAGAAGAAAGATAAAAGAGGTAAAGATCAACACAACCATAAAAGTACATTGATATACAAGTTTTTGTCAAATCATACCTCATTCACGGCATCAGATAAATTTCTTCATCAACCATTCACATAATGTTTCCTCATCAACCATTCACATAATGTTTGATCATGCCTAAATTTCTTCATGTGTAGCAACTCGCCGAAGCCCATTTCTCCAACCCATCCTCTCTTTTCCTCAGATAAACAACTTATAATTTCAATCACTTTCATTGAACTGCACCTCACATTTCCTCCTCCCTACATATGGATTAGAAACAATAAGGCACAAGACAAATTACTTTCACTCAGACATGCAAGGAAATCATTTTGTTAATTACCTTTCTTTGCCTTTTTTTTTTACGAGGTTCAGCACTATCCATATTGGCACTATTATAACCTTTGGAAGAAAAAAGACAGCCAATCAATGTAGTTGGAGAAGACATACAATTTCAGTACATAAAACAGCAAAATGATTCACAAGCTACTATGGCTCATTCCCAACCCACCCAAAGTTACATTTCCACTTCCTAGCCGAAAACCCCACCTACAACAAATATGTGTTATTGTCTTGTTAAACACCTTATTCTGCCAAGAGACCAAATTTTAATGCATTACAAATAAATAAACAAAATCCCGTATGTTGTGGCTCATGTCACGTGTACTTCATTGTTATATATAATTGAGTAATTAATCTTTCCCCTACTCTTCAATTCTTGCTTGCTTCTAATTGATTAACTAATCTCCCCCAACACAGATCGATGACTACAAAATCCCTAAACCAATAATTTAAAATCTTACCCTAAAACAATTTCAAAACAAATCCATAATGTTTCACAAAACTTACCCACGAGCAGGGCTGGGTGGAACATGCAATACCAGGGATTTCCGTTTGCCGCGGTTGGGGCTGAACGTTTGCTGCGATTGGGGCTGAAGATGTTGGCTCTGATTTGCCGGACCAAACTTGCAGACGGGTTCTCCCTACATTGTTTGTACCCTTTCACCCCGATCTCTGGCGCCTCCGACTCCGGTGCCTTCGCCTCCGAATCCGACGCCTCCGACTCTGGTGCCTTCGCCTCCGAATCCGACGCCTCCGACTCCGGCGCCTTCGTCTCTGAATCCGACGCCTCCGCCTCCGATCTCCGGCACCTTCACCTCCGACTCAAACGAAAGAAAAGCTTTCCTCTCCCTGATCTCCGTTTGCTTGCCCTCGCTCTCTATTGTCGTCTCCAGCGACTATTTGGTGAGGAAGAAAAGCATTGGAAAGGGTAGTGGAAGAAGAGCAGAATGGGATTTCAAAAGATGGCTTTTTGTGGATGGAGGATACGAAGAGGTGGTTGGGGTAAAGAGAAAGTGCATTTTTTAATTCAATGTATCTTTTATTTTCAATTTCTCTTCTCACCAACATTCAATTTCTCTTCTCACCAACTCATATCTCTCATACAATTATTTAATACATTTTTCATTAGGTGTTCGTCACACCTAACGTGCCAAGGAAAGTTTTTCTTTTTTATTAGTTGAGTTGACCTAGTGTAAAATCAAAGTAGGGGTATAAATGTTATTATGAAAAAATAAAAAATAATTTTTTTCTTCCCAAAATTTCGGTCGCTGGAATTCGGTCGCCGGTCACCGGAATATGCTTTTCGTCGCCGGAATATGCTATTTTCTCATCGGAATATGCCACCGTCACCGGAATATGCTTACTGGCGTCAGAATCTAGTCATCGGGGCCGGAATATGCCTATCGACGTCGGAATCTGCTCACTGACGGTCATCGGAGTTCGGTCAACGACCACCGGATGTTATGGTCTTCATTGTGAGATTTATGGTTTGGTTTCTCACATTTTTGTATGCCTTTTGTGGTTTGCTTTATCGCGTTTGTGGTTTACATTGAGAAGTTTCTCGTTTGCTTTATCGTGTTTGTGGTTTGCATTGAGAAGTTTCTCGTTTGCTTTCAAAAATTTTGTGTTTTGCATTCAGGGGTTTGTGGTTTGTTTTAGGAGATTTGTGGTATGCATTAGGACGTTTCTGGTTTGTTTTTGTGGTTTGCTTTATCGTGTTTGTGGTTTGCATTATGAGGTTTCTGGTGTGCTTTTGAAAATTCTGTGGTTTGCTTTGTGAGGTTTCTGGTTTGTTTTAATAGATTTTTGGTCTGCATTAGGACGTTTCAGGTTTGTTTTTGTGGTTTGCTTTATCGTGTTTGTGGTTTGCATTATGAGGTTTCTGGTTGTTTTTGCAAATTATGTGGTTTGTTTTATTGTGTTTGTGGTTTGCATTATGAAGTTTCTAGTTTGTTTTAATATATTTTTTGTCTCAATTAGAATGCACGTAGGAAATGTGTGAACCTATTATCCATATGGTAATAATCACCCTCATGTTGCTTCAACTTCAGTCGGGGTTTTGGCAACAATAGATAATGCGTGCAATCCACTCTGCAGCTCCTCTTGCAGCAAACCATAGATCAACCTATGTCTCTTCACCAAGCTTTTCCCTTCAAACTCCTTTGAAACAACTTTCAAGTTGAAAATGCGTCTCCCCATCACTCCCCCTAGCACCAACATGCCCCGCATCCGCATGCTGATAAAAAACATCTTCAACATCCAGTTCAACAGGGGCCAACTCCTTCTCCAATTTTTCCTTAATTCTAGTCCCTCTACTCCCCCAAACGAGTAAATCCGGAGGCTTTCACGTCTCTGTTTGGTACCGAATCCTCACCCACGCTGCTACTGCCAACCACAGCTGAATTGCTGGAACTAGCATCACCATTTGACTCCAAATTTGAGCGTTGAAACTCATTATGAACACTACCCACCTCTGAACTTTGGGCAGACTCTAGCACGCCCTTTTCTGCTTCAACATACAGCTCAAGAGCTTTCTTCTGCATCAACTTGAGCATATTCAAGAACCCATTATTCCTGGAAGGAGTCAAACTCTGTTGAAGACCAAGAAGCACAGCGAAATCAGGGGAAACCCACAAAACCTTCTCGACTGGCCGCCCTGAGAGACCTAGAACGAGCAAAGCAGCGAGGCCCTTGGTGAGAAAACAGAATCTGAATACGCCTCGAACGAGACATTTCGATCATTGTCCAAGTAAGCCCTGACCCAGACTTGAGAAACGCATCCTTCCACTTTGTTCAATTTTGTCTTGAACTGGGCATCCAGCGGATTCAAGTTCTTGCCGTAGAAAAGCAGCTGCTCGTATTTGGCTTTGGGTTCCTGCACGGACTGGAAAAGCTTCACAATTTCTTAGAGCTTAGGAGGGAGCTCTTCGACGGGTTGCAGATATGTGGAGCTCGGTGCTGAGATTGCTGTTGGTGACCGCTGATTGGTTTCTCGTCTCGATTCGCTGGAATGAAATGGATTTGGAGATAAGGAAGGGTGATGAAAGGGTGGATTTGAATGAGGAGGAGAAGAGTGATGAAAGGCAGGCCATCGGAGATGCTCTCCCGGCGCCCAGCTGTCGCAGCTGTTTCAGGGAGCCGAGTCGTCGGATGAAAGGAAGAAGGCAGAATGAGATCTGGATGGGATGGGACAGAGAATAGGGATGGCAAAAATATCCGTAACCATGGATATCCACCCGAATCCGGCCTAATCGGGTAGGGTAAAACCCGAACCCGAAAGACATTTAGTGGGTACGGGTAAAACCCGAACCCGAATATTGTGGATAATGGGTGGGCATGGATTTCTCACTATCCAACCCGAACCCGCCCGATTATACAAATGCATATGTATTTTCTCTAAATATAATCATTATTTTTCTCTTTTACATATTTTATATTTAGCATATAAGTATAATATTTTCATGAAATTGTGTTGTTTTAATTAATTTTCTTCATTCTAGTGAATGATTGTCGTACTTTTCCTCGTACGTAATGTGAGAATTCGTGTGAATGTTAACATATTGGTTGAAGTTATGAAGAGAAATGATTACCCATGGATAACCGTGGATACCCAAAACCCGAACGGGTATGGGCATGGTTTTGATTTTCTACCCGTTTCACATGTGGGTATGGGTATGGGTAAAACCCGAACTACTTTGGGTAGGGTAACGGATATGCAATATCCGCCCCCGACCCGACCCATTGCCATCCCTAACAGAGAAAAGGTAGTTTTTTATTTTTATTTTTAATTTAATTTTAGTTGTGTTTGGTTGGATTATCTTTTTATCCTTATTGTTATAGTAACAACAAATATACTGTTGTTATAGTATCCGGACCCGGGAAAAAGATTAAAGAATCTTGCAGGTAAAAGCCCAACATGTGGAGGGCGATCCAAGTTAAAGTAAAGAGGCCATACTAATGGACCGTGGGCCTTTACTTCAGCTCCATTAGGTCCAGCACTCCAGCCTCAGGCTAAGCAAGATTGTCAAACCCGTTTATACTGTTACGTCAGTTTAGAGGGTGGAATGGTACGACCAGTGGTACAACAAGCTGATACCGACGGCCACAGAGATCGCGCGAGTGTTGGCGATCCATGGCACACGCTGGCTTCGTTGATGCAATAGGGTCATTGAGGAATTACTTGTCAAGTGGTGCTCTCTACCTTAGAATTGTTTGAAAGATTTGACGATTTCCGACCTTGAGGAAAAGCCCATACTTTTTGGCGCGGGCAATGATGGGGTTATGAATCGTGAGAAAGATGGGGTTATGAATCGTGAGAAAGATCCTGGTAGTAGACTCCTTCCGATCATACTCTCGTCGGCAAACCAAAGAAGCTCCCAGTGCCCAATGTGTTGGCAATCTATTTCCCTGAAGGATCCAACCAGTCAGGAACTGCTCGAAGCTGTAGAACGTGAGAGAAATATAAGATTGAATCCACCTAGGAATTCTGCCATATTTCATCATCCAACTCTGGGGGACTTCGAATTGCAACATGTGTGTATCTCACCTGCATAAACTTTCATCTCCTTCTACTTCAGTTCCGGCTTGAGTAAAATTCTTCATGCTATTTTCTTCGCTTTGCCCGCTCGCCGTCGAAGGACGAAAGGTGCGTTTCCAAATCACCCGCAACTCTGCTTCTCTTCATTTATGTAGTGAAAAGCCTTGGGCGTTTGATGAAAACATTGCTGCAACTTGCGGATTCCGGTTATTCGAGTGTTTCTGATGTGATTTGTGCTGTTTTTCTCGTCGTTCTATGTGTCGGAGATTGCTTGACGACTATGCTCGGTATGATTTGTTTTGCTTTGTCGTTGTTCTAAGTCATCGGAGATTGCTTGACGATTTTGCTCGCTTTGTTTTGTCTCAACCGCACCGGAACCTGCGATCGCCGGTGGCTCACCGGAGTCCGTTTTCTGTCGCTAATGTCCGTCAAGTCCTGCAGAACACAATTAATACAGTAGTTATTGAGATTAAAACCATTTGTCCTCAAGTTGGTTACAAGGCTTTACGGCCAGAAACGGCAATCGCCGGAAAAGTCTTAATTAGGCTAATAAATCGTCTCCTTAATGACGAGATAGAGCGCTTTAAGCCTCTAATAAACATAGCCTTTCAAGGCTGCTGCGTTCGCCAGCATAATGGGCGTAATCAAAGGGTTATCATAATGAGCCTTTCATTGATATTATTTTTAGAATAATTAGCCCATCAATTATTGGGCTAGTGTGGTAAAACAAATCCAGTGTCTATTTTATCGCTGGGATTTGAAACATGGAGTAATTGGGTAATTAATTAAGGGATTTAGTTACATTTCCTTCTTTGTCCGTTTTTCATATTAATTGGGACCAATGGATAATTATGAAATTAATTGGTATCATATTAATTGTGCTCAGATTCTTCATATGGCAATGCCTCAAAGTCATACTTTCCACAGTAGTGGCCCTTCAAACTCGTGAAGTAAACTGTCTTAACCGATGGCCTGGCTGCTGGAGACATCGAGAAAACATTGAACATTTATTATTCAGATGCCCCCTAGCCATCAGATTGTGGACTTTAGTGGGATTGAACAACTTTATTGATACCGCCCAGACTGTTAACTTTAGTCTATGGTGGCGACATGTCATGGTCTCCGAGACCTCCCCATTCCACATTCTCCAATGCGTTCGTTTACCTTGGAGAATCTGGAAGTCTAGAAATAAAGTGTTCTTCAAATTTATCCAACCTCATGTCCGTTCTCTAGCCAGACAGTTCTACTTCCAGGTCCTCAAATCTCCAGTCTTCTTCTCCCCCTCCTCCCCGCAGTTCTCTACCTTCCTGCCACCATTTGAGTCCCTCCACCAGACGGCTTTTTGAAGATCAACATCGACGCAGCTGTTTGTGCCTTCGGGTGCTCGTATGGGCTTGTTATCCGTGGGTCAGGCGGACATGTGATGTTGGCGTTCGGGTTGCAGCATCAAGGAATAGTCAACCCTTATCTGGCAGAGCTTCTAGCTTTCAGGGATGCTATCTCCTTTGTAGCCTCAAGCTCCTTGACCCGCGCGATAGTCAAAGGTGATTCCGAAGTGATCGTCATCCAAGCCCGTCAAGGCGTCTTAGAAGACTCGATTGGTGGTCCGGTGTTACGAGAGTGTCTTCAGATCCTTAGCTCTTTGTCTGTTTGTATAGAGTTTAGGGCGGTACCTAGATCCGCCAACAGTGCTGCCCATAGAGTGGCGCGTAAAGCACTGCTTTTGTCTCGTGTAGAGCTAGAATCTTTTGATTTTTTGGGGTGGCTTCTTTAGAATCTTTTAGGGGGTCCTGGGTAGAATTGTAAGCTTAACTATTATATTTCATTGATATCACTATGAAAAAAAAAAAAAAATTCGTGAGAAAGATCATATGAAGGAAAGCCAGAAGGATTCGACCCATGTAAGGACCAACGAGCCATCACGTGGTTAGGTTAGGATGATCATAGGCTTGTGCTGCTTGCTTAGGAAGTGATTCGGTTAGCGATTGTTTTGTTCTATTCATTGATTGTAGCAGGTGCCATTAGCTCGTTAGGATTGAATCGTTTTGAAAATAAAGGAAATCTTCTCTCCATAGTAGCTGATAGGATCATGATTCGGGATATCCATGATGTAAATCCCACTTTCGATTTAGGATTCCAGCCCTCTATTTAAAGAGGCTAAGAGTCAATAAAATGGAGCAGATCATTTTCCAAAAAACTGCAAAAGTAAAGAGTCAATCGGACAATGCCTCGGACCTTAACTCTAGTTGTCTACCTACCTAGCTCTCTTCTCTTGAGCAGCAAACGCAAGGAAAAGAAGCCGAGAGCAAGAGTCTGCCAAAACCATCCCTTGGCGTTGACAGGATCCACCTTCTTGGCCAGCTCCAACGCATACACAGCCTCAGCCACATGCGCGACGGCGGCCGCTACAGCCACCGCCCTGACCATCCACATCGACCGCAGGAACACGAGGCTGAAACCTCTCAACAACGGCACAACCGGTCCTGCTGCATTCGGCACAAACGCGGCACAGAACAGCATACCCAATCCAAACCCAACAATCAACCACGGCCATATCGTCGGTCCGTCCAACGTCTCCCTCTTCCTCTCCTGCCAGTACGAAATCGTCGCGTCCATCGCTTCTCGAGGCGTAACAGGAGGCACATACCCTAGTTCCTCCTCGGCCTTGAAGTTTGAGAAGTAATGCGTCACCCCTACTTTGTGAATCTCCGCGGGGAGGATCAACGGCGGAGGAAGCCAGGCGTGGTTCAACCACGTGTACAAGAATTTGTAGATGGCCCAGGAAGCTCTAGCTGTAGCAATCACATGAGAGACGGGTACGGAAACCTTTGGTATGTCGTAGCCTAGGCTTCTCAGCAGTGGTTGCATGAACTTGTAGCTGTTGATCGGAGAACCTGATGACAAGCAAACAGATTGAACGAGTTACAACCGGTGGATTGTATTAATCGATCCATATCAGATATGAAGAAAAGCTTTTCATAACACGATCAATTGTTCAATTTACCATCGGATATGAAGTATGCTTGGCCAGAAGCCACAGGGGATTTCCCTTCTAGATCTCCTCTGCCATCGGAAAGTCCGATGCTTGCGAGAATCAACGCGAGGACGAGGTTTTCGACGTAGACCCAGTCGGTCATGACGCTCATATCGCCGATTCTGATTGGCAGCAAACCCCATTTAGCGTGGGATATGATTCTAGGAAGATGCCTCTCTTCTCCTGGTCCGTAGATGCCGGCTGGACGGACTGCACAAGTGTGTAGCTTTCCCCTGTTATTGGTCCTGCATGATTAACAGGGGGAAAAAACAGAGGAAAAAAACAGAGTATCACATATCCAAAACAGAGGGGGAAAAACAGAGTATTCCCCTGTTATATTGCTTACTTAAAAGGGCGGCCGCTGTGACTTAGCACCAATTGCTCGGCAATGGACTTGCTGTGGCTATAAGGGTCGACGTGATCGTCGAGAGGGAAGTAAGGCAAGGATTCATTCCCATTGACGATCTCCTTCCCTCCAAAGACGACATTGGTCGTGCTGACGTAAACAAGCCGGGCGACGTCGAACTGGAGGCAAGCTTCCAAAACGTGGCTGGTGCCGTTGATGTTGATCTGGTCGACACGCGTGAATCGGAGCATTTCTTTGCCGGACATGCCGTACGAGGCCAAGTGGAAGACGCAGTCGGCGCCGCGAATCGCATTGCCTACATCTTCCTTTTCGGTGAGGTCCCCTGAAGAAACAATCAAATTGAGTCGGAAACTTTTCTGTACTGTGAAAGGAGAAGAAGTAAGGTTAACGTAGTGGGAGGCGGACCTTGGATGAATTGGACGCCGGCGGTGGTGAGAGATTTGGACCATGGGGAAGTTGGTCGGAGATCGAAGGCGCGGACTTGGCGAGCTCCTCGGCGGAGTAGTTCGAGGCAGAGGGCGGAACCCACGTAGCCCAATCCGCCGGTGACTAGAAAGACCTTGTCTTCGATTGCTTCTGCGGTGGTGATCTCGTTCGATTGCATCTTTCCTTAAACGATTGATTGATTGATATCTCTATAATCAGATGATGTACTCTGTAATCTATTTGGCTCTGTCAGGCGTCGAGTTCAGATATATGGTTTAGTGGTGAAGTAAGGACCTAAAAAAAGCATCCCGATTGCGGCAGATTAATGTGTTGCTATCTTATCGTTGTCTTCTTGATTTCATTCCCTTCTCGTTTGTTCTTTTCCCTTCGGCTAGGCCGAAGCATTTTGTTGTCCTGTTTTCCTGGCTAACAAGTTGCAATACAAAATGAGAGGTTGGTTAGGGATGAGTCGGATGACAATCAAACCGGTAATTTTGTGTATTCGATTGTTCTCGATCTAGTTAATGAGGGAAATTTTTGTATTGATTGGATATGAGTAAACTTATAAAAGGTTTATCGAGGATGGGACATATTCGATTTTAATCTACTACGACCATACACATACATATACATTCAAAATGATTTCTTCCGAGATTAAAAATAAAGGAATAATATTGTAACCTCTCAATAATTGAAAGGAAAATTACAAATTAACCAATCAAACACTAATTTGTTTCCCTCAATTCTCTCTTTGCTCTCTCATTTCATTCCCATTTGTTAACAACTAGTACAAGTTCTCTCGCTATCGCTTCGCGTCTCTGTGTATTGATGTTTTAAAATTAATAGTTTGAATTTTGACCCAAAAGCAAAAGGCTCATCATCTACAACTCCATGTAGTCGACGCAACGATGGACTTTTATAAGAGAGAAGAGTTGTTGACCAAATGATTTCTATGTTTAAGTTGTAAATATCGGGTTCAAGTTGTTTTGACCATATTGAATAGGTTGGATACCCATAGGTTTGGGTGCTCAACCAAAAGGTAAAAGATAAATGAAAACATTAAAGCGGATAAAACTCGCTCCATACCCAAAACTTTACACACCGAGCTCAAGTCACCTTGACTGGTTCGAACCTAGTTTTTAACAATTCACACTCGACTCAACATGCTAATTCTATAAGCAGATAAAACGCACTCTCGATAAAAAAACTTGTTAGAGTGGGTCTAGGTTCAATTGTCATTCTTAGCCAAAAGGAAAAGGGGAAATAAAAACCATTAAAGCGGACAAAACTCACTCTCGATCCAAAACTCATTCAGCTTGGTTTGACCCGGTCGAATCGAGTTCTTAAAAAATTCACACTCGGCCCAACTTGCCAACTACAAAAGTGGATAAAACTCTCGTCAATACCATGGTTTTTGGTTCAATTGTCATTCTAAACGAAAGGGGAAAAATAGAAATTCAAAAATACTAATGTTGGATTCGAGTCTCTTTAACCTGGCCGAATTAGGTTGGATACCCATGAGTTTGAGTTCAATTGTCATGCTAAGAGAAATAAGAAAACACTAAAGAATATGAAACTCGATCCCAATACAAAACTCGGCAACATATAGTAGATTTAGTACGGATTTTCGGTAGTTGTCTTGAGACATGGTGGATGGGTACAACTTAAGATTCCACCAACAATGTTTGGAGAAGGGTTGTGAATTATATATGTTATGGATATTCGGTAGCTGTCGTGATGTCTATTTTTCATTGTTTTCGTCGATAGGTTTCGAGATGAGTTGCGAATTGGTGGGGTAAGGTGATGATTTGGGTAAAATATCATAAACGAAAACCTTATTGATAATTGCTACAACAGGGCAAACAATGAACAATAGATGAAAACTTAAGTCGACCATTAACATGGGAAACCTAATGGCTAATAGATGTAGATCCGACGGACAATAGATGAACACATATGTTATAGAATGAGAGAGTGAGGTAAAAGAAGAACTTGAAACTTCCCTACTCGCACTTGGAGGAGTTTGAGAGCCACTAATGAATAGTAACTTCAATGTTAGGCTTTTATATATTAATAATTAATTAATTTGGGTAAAATATCATAGACGAAAACCTGATTGATAATTGCTACAACAGGGAAAATAATGAACAATAAATGAAAACTTAAGTAGACAATTAATATGGGAAACCTAATGGCTAATAGATGAAAACTCAAGTAGACAATTAATATGGGAAATCTAATGGCTAATAGATGTAGACCCGACGGACAATAGATTAACACATAGGTTATAAAATGAGAGAGTGAGGTAAAAGAAGAACTTGAAACTTCCCTACTTGCATTTAGAGGAGTTTGAGAGCCACTAATGAGTAGTAACTCCAATATTAGGTATTAATATATTAATTAATATTATGTTAGTTGTTTATTGTTTAGTAGATGTGTTAGTTAATAATTGGTGATTCGAATCGTAATGTAATTTGTCTTACAAATTTGAAACTACTAGATCCTAGATATTTTTACATTGAATGTCTTAAATTCATATTGAAAATGAATATGTTTTTTGGTTTCATAATGTACTAGTGTGGGACCCGGCCATTTGGCCGGAGGAAGGTGAGGTATGAAATTTGATAATGTAATGGGGTGTATAGCTTATTGTTATATAGTTTTTTTTGGAAAACACGTGATAATAATAGTGAATTTTAGTAGGAAAGAGACATGAATGATGCAACGAATCAAAAATAAGCCTTATGAACCAAAGTCAAGTACCTGTTACCTTGTGAAACAATATTGTTTCTGGTAATATGATGAGGTGGAGTAAGTTTTATAGAAACCGAATTCCAGAAAACCGAATAAAAAATCGCCTCTCCCGCCGGTTTTTGGGAAATGAGCATCTCACAATCGTTGCTAGCTTTTACTCTGCCCGTTGGCTGATTAATTTGCTTTATAAAACTTTCATCTTGTCATCATTGTGCTTTCTGGTTTTTTGCCAAGTCATGATAAAATCTAAAGAAACCAAGAATGAACAACACGATTTGAGATAAGAACCACCGTTACTGTATCCCTAGAAAATGGTGGTAAACATGGACTCACCTGCCAAACTGGTTTGGATTGAGATTTTTATCGGGTATCAGGGAACCATGTGATTATAAATTAGACTTGATCAAAACGGGCCAAAACTTGAAATTCAGCCTGTTTGACCGACTCATGCCAAACTCTAATTATTCTTTACTTTTAAACTTTCTATTTGAAAATAAAAAATAATGAAAAAAAGAGATGACTGCAATTCGTCATTTGCACATCACTGTTTCGGGAATAAAACTATAGAATTTTGAAAGGAAACTGAAAATGTTTAGGATCGTTTTAATGTTCAAAATAACCAAATAGGTCTTTCTGTTTATTTTTTTACTAACAAATACCAAACAATTCTCTATAATATACACTATAATTTAATCATTATGATATCAAATAATTACATAATATATATTTGAAATGATAAAAATTGGACTAATTGGGTTGATCGAGGTTGAACCATTGAATAACTTTAAAATACATTATATTTTAGCCACTAAGATATAAAATAATAGCATAATATATATTATGCTAGGTAAAATAGCTTGTTTTAGAATGGCAAACCCATGATGTTCATTTGTTTTACTTGATGGGAAAATCCCGTGTAGGTCAGACCCATTCAACTCTTTTATTTTATGATTAGCGGTTAGCCCATTAGAATCAATGCATTAGTTTATTGTTAATTTTTTTTAGCAATAAAAAGTAGATAGCGTAATGCAATCTAGTGGTCATCCAAGGGGGAGTATTATGTAAATATTGATATATGGATGACCATTGCCATTTCGCTCGACATAATCTAAGATATTGGAGTAAGATCACAATATGATCAAGGTATGTAAATCTTAGATCCTTTCTTATCTTATTGTCTTATTTGTGTTGAGATTATCTCATTCCAATATATCAAGATGGGTGCTACTTCTCATATTCATTGATATTTTATCACGTCGATCTATTTGGATTAACAAGAAAAGTAATATAAATGATGAGTTAATTTCTCAGTTCTTCGTGTTATCCTATTCTTATTCATCATACATTGATATGTAGAAAATGCAAGTTCCAAGAGCACATATATTCCCCGGAAGTGGAAATTGAAGAATCCAAGGGCAAAGAAAGAAGTGGACATGGTACCAAGAAGATTGGTTTTGTATGTTACCATTGTAATGGAAAATTGAATTTGTCTCGTACCCGTTGTACGTAAAAGACCTTATTATACCAAGAATCAAAGAGAAAAGCTAATTCATATACGCTCCTGCAATATCAATATTATGGAATATATTTTTTGTATTATAAGTTGGTATATTCTCCATTAAAGATGAAAATGATATCACTTGAGAAATTTTCATTTCCAGAAGTGAATGAAATAATCTATTCTCCGAAGTGAATGAAGCTATAAACATAATTATATATATGTTAAATGTATTGTTTGGATCTTTTCACCAGAAGTGAGAAAAGAGGAGTAAAAGGAGAACTATAAATAAGGATGACACCACAATTGCATATCAAAGTCATGATAACATAATGTACTTGTTGTACATTATAATGTATAATGAAACTCATATATAAATTTAAAATCACCTAGTTAGTGATAGTATTTTTCCAAATAAATCTTATTTAATTTTCACAATTTTAGTATTACGATTCCTATTTTCTATTATGTTTTATTGTGCCATTATTTTCATGCATAATTTAACTTGATAACTTTTATCTAGAACGATTAACTTGATAAGTTCATCATTTTTGTCTTAAGTTTGAAATATTCTCATTTATTATTTTAGTATGTTTTTGTAAAGTATGATTGTTAGAAAAATTCTATATAAACTATATGGTAGAGTACATAAATAAGAAAAAACTTCCGAAGAGCTTGTGTTTGGTTACTTGAAGTAACTAAATTATGTACTCGTGATAACAATTTGTGATGATATTCACTATGAATTTGTGTTTACTAAGAATGCATAAAATCATAAGTCCCTGGAAGGGTGGAATATGGTACAAACTATGGTAAAGCTTTAACGGAGCTAATTTTGTGGCCTGAAGGAACCAAACTACCTAATGATGATGCATTACCCAATTAAAAGGATATTCGTAAAATGAATATCTTATCAAGAAAATAGT